TGCGCTCGGTCAGGTTTGCGCTGGGTCGGGTTTGCTCTGAGTCGGGTTTGCGCTCGGTCGGGTTTGCACTGGGTCGGGTTTGCTCTGGGTTGGGTTTGCGCTGGGTCAGGTTTGCACTGGTAAGGTTTGCGCTGGGTCGGGTTTGCTCTGAGTCGGGTTTGTGCTCGGTCGGGTTTGCTCTGGGTCGGGTTTGCTCTGGGTCGGGTTTGCGCTGGGTCGGGTTTGCTCTGGGTCGGGTTTGCTCTGGGTCGGGTTTGCGCTCGGTCAGGTTTGCGCTGGGTCGGGTTTGCGCTCGGTTGGGTTTGCTCTGGGTCGGGTTTACGCTCAGTCAGGTTTGCGCTCGGTCGGGTGTGCGCTCGGTCAGGTTTGCGCTGGGTCGGGTTTGCGCTCGGTTGGGTTTGTTCTGGGTCGGGTTTGCGCTCAGTCAGGTTTGCGCTCAGTCGGGTTTGCGCTCGGTCGGGTTTTGCGCTCGGTCAGGTTTGCGCTGGGTCGGGTTTGCGCTCGGTTGGGTTTGTTCTGGGTCGGGTTTGCGCTCAGTCAGGTTTGCGCTCAGTCGGGTTTGCGCTCGGTCGGGTTTGCGCTCGGTCGGGTTTGCGTAGGCTGTGCAGAGTATGGAGCGCTCCTCTCACGTCTGGCTGATAGATGAAGCGTTGAGTTGATTAATCAGGGGACGGGAGGTAATGACAAGGAAAGGGATGGCGGCAATCTCGGCTCGGCTATACACAGAATTAATGACGTGTTCCACGGACGGCGCCTCTGCGCTGGATGATAAGGAGCCGCGAGCAACATCAGCCATCAGAACAGACGGACCAATGAGATGCGCCGCACACCATCCGCATAAGTCACAATATAATAATCCTGAACTCCTTAATGGAATGGAGATTCTACGGGATTAGCTTCGGAATAGATATAAAAGTCATGGGAGGTTGGGGGGGTGGTAAGCTCCCACAGTCGAGCCATGCTTTTATCGCCCCCTCCAAATGCTACCCCCTTTAGCTGCAAAGGCAGCAGCCAGGGGTGTACGAGTGCCATGACATGATGCTACGCTTTGTGGTCACAGCAGGCATTGTACCTTCTGACGCCACCAGTCAGTGCCCTTCAGTGCTGCCAATTAGTGCCCATTGGTGCCGTATATCAGTGCCTATCATTGCCGCCAATCAGTGCTGCATATCAGTGCCTTCTCATCAATGCCCATCAGTGCCACCTCATCGGTGCAGCCTATCGGTGCCCATCAGTGCAGCCTATCAGTGCCCATTAGTACTGCCTATCAATGCCCATCAGTGCTGCCTATCAGTGCCCATCATTGCCGCCTATCAGAGCCGCATATCAGTTCAGCCTCATCAGCGCCCATCAGTGCTGCCTCATGAGTGCAGCCTATCAGTGCTCATCAGTGCCGGCTATCAGCACCCATCATTGCTGCCTAATAGTGCTGCATATCAGTGCCTCATCAATGCCCACCAGTGCCGCCTCATTAGTGCAGCCTATCAGTGCCCATCCTTGCCGACTATCAGTGCCGCATATCAGTGCAGCCCCATCAGCGCCTCCTCATCAGTGCCCATCAGTGCTGCCTCATCAGTGCAGCCTACCAGTGCCTATCAGTGCCCATCATTGCCACCTAATTGTGCTGCATATCAGTGCCTCCTCATCAATGCCCACCAGTGCCGCTCATCAGTGCAGCCTATCAGTGCCCATCAGTTCCGCCTAATAGTGCCGCATATCAGTGCCTCCTCATCCATGCCCACCAGTGCCGCCTCAACAGTGCAGCCTATTGGTGCCCATCAGTGTAGCTTATCAGTGCCCATCATTGCCGCCTAATAGTGCTGCATATCAGTGCCTCTTTCTCAATGCCCATCAGTGCTGCCTCATCAGTGCAGCCTATTGGTGCCCATCAGTGCTGCCTATCAGTGCCTCCTCATCAGTGCCCATCATTGCCACCTAATAGTGCTGCATATCAGTGCCTCTTCCTCAATGCCCATCAGTGCTGCCTCATCAGTGCAGCCTATTGGTGCCCATCAGTGCTGCCTATCAGTGCCTCCTCATCAGTGCCCATCATTGCCACCTAATAGTGCCGCATATCAGTGCCTCATTTTTTCATTTCTCTCCCCCTCCCTCCCCCTATGATCTCTGATGGGCCCCCCCAGCAACATTTCCATCTGATTGGTTTCACAATTAAGCACTCATTACACGAGACTCATCAGGGAAGTGTAAAAACACCGGCATGAGATCATCAGCCTGTTCATATCTGACTGCACGTGTCCCCTGGGGGGGGGGCGGTAATATCACACGTGGGGCTCTTTCCAGGATCACACACCAAAGATGAGACGATGAAACCAACAGCAACCAATCAGAGCAGAGTCAGCGCAGTGCCGGCGAGCCAATTCCAGCCATTTGCAGCATCGCTGGGAAACGCGTCACTAAAGTGGTCATTATATCTGATTTTCCTCCCTGTTGGGGGTCTTCCTGTGCGTGGGTGCGTCCAATCCCTTACTCGTCCCTGGAGTAGATCGATGGATTTGAAAAAAAAAAAAAACCGTTGCATTCCCTGTAAGTCCCGGTCACACTGATTGTGGATTGGCATGCGACGTGCCATGCTATCGCAAATCGCCTGCCAAGTCGCACCCCATTGTCCGCAATGACCGCGGTTTTTATCGGCGCGGTTCAGACTCGGTCACAGCCGCACCAACTTCTAAAGTAGTCCGTGCGCTGCTATTGGTGCGATTTGCATAGACCTCCGTGTCAGACGTCTGGCAAATCGCTCCTGAAATCGGCATCTCACCCGACTTCACTGCAAGTCACATGATCTCAAAGTCGGGTTTGGGGTGACGGGGTGTTAGGCCCCTTTCACACAGGGGTTCCGTATGTCCGTTTTTTATCTGTCCGTTTACGGATGGAAAACGGACCCCCATGTATTTCTATGGACTAACGCATGTAAACGGAGGATCATCCGCTAATCTCCCCATCCGTTAACATCCGATTTTTCGAATGGAAGAAGACCCTATTTTCCATCCTTTCAAAAAAACGGGATGGACGAAAAACAAATGTAAACGGACAAAAACTGATGTGAGCGGTTGTAAAATAGATGTAAACAGACAAAAAAATGGATGTGTAAAACGGATGTAAACGGACAAAAACGTATGTAAGCGGATGTAAACAGACAAAAAAAAAAGGATGTAAACAGATGTAAATGGACAAAAATGTATGTAAGCTATGTAAACGGACAAAAAAAATGGATGTAAGCAGATGTAAATGGACAAAAAATGGATGTAAGCAGATGTAAATAGACAAAAAATGGATGTAAGCGGATGTAAACGGACAAAAAAGTATGTAAGCGGATGTAAACGGACAAAAAAAAGTATGTAGGCGGATGTAAATGGACAAAAACGTATGTAAGCTGATGTAAACGGACAAAAAGCAGATGTAAACGGACAAAAAAACTGATGTAAGCGGATGAAAAATGGACGTAAACAGACAAAGAAACAGATGTAAGCGGACAGAAACAGAAGTAAGCGGATGAAAAAATTGATGTAAGCGGAAAAAAAGGGATGTAACTAGACAAAAAACGAATGTAAGCGCATGTAAACAGACACAAACCAGATGTAAACGGACAAAAACTGATGTAAGTGGAAAAAAACGGATGTAAGCGGGACAAAAACTAATGTAAACTGATAAAAAAAGATGTAAACGAAATGACAAATGGATGTAAACTGACAAAAACGGAAGTAAAACTGATGAAAAATGGATGTAAACGGACAGAAAAAAGGATGAAAAACGGACAAAAACAGATGTAAATGGACAAAAACTGATGTAAACTGAAAAAAACAGATGTAAACAGATGAAAAAATGGATGTAAACAGACAAAAACGATGTAAGTGGATGTAAAACGGACAAAAAACAGATGTGTAAACGGATGAAAAATGGATGTAAAAAGACAAAAAATGTAGACGGACAAAAACAGATGTAAGCGGATGTAAACCAGACAAAAAAAATGGATGTAAGCAGACAAAAAACGAATGTAAGTGGATGTAAATGGCCAAAAAAGGATGTAAATGGACAAAAATGGATGTAAGCAAACAAAAAACAGATGTAAACGGATGGAAAATGGATGTAAATAGACAAAAACAGATGAAAATAGATATAAACGGACAAACACGGATGTAAATGGACAAAAAAAGATGTAAACTGACAAAAACAGATGTAAGCGGATGAAAAATGGATGTAAACGGACAAAAAAAAGATGTAAGATGACAAAAATGGATGTAAACGGATGGAAAACAATATATTAATAAAATCAAGCCCCTAGGCATGCAGACTGCTTCTACAAACATTGGTGAAAGAATGGGTCGTTCTCAGGAGCTCAGTGACCCCAAGCGTGGTCCCGTGATACACTATATTGCCCCAAGTATTGGTCCACCGGCCTTTCCACCCACATGACCTTTAATGGCCCCCTCCCAGTCTTAGTCCGTAGGGTTCAATATTGCGTTGGCCCCGCCCTTTCCACGCACATGACCTTTAATGGCCCCTCCCAGTCTTAGTCCGTAGGGTTCAATATTGAGTTGGCCCCGCCCTTTCCACACACATGACCTTTAATGGCCCCCCAGTCTTAGTCCGTAGGGTTCAATATTGAGTTGGCCCCGCCCTTTGCAGCTATAACAGCTTCAACTCTTCTGGGAAGGCCGTCCACAAGGTTTAGGAGGGTGTCTATGGGAAGGTTGGACCATTCTTCCAGAAGCACATTTGTCAGGTCAGGCACTGATGTCGGGGGAGGAGGCCTGGCTCGCAGTCTCCGCTCTAATTCATCCCAAAGGTGTTCTATGGGGTTGAGGTCAGGACTCTGTGCAGGACAGTCAAGTTCCTCCACCCCAAACTGGCTCCTCCATGTCTTTATGGACCTTGCTTTGTTCACTGGTGCGCAGTCATGTTGGAACAGGAAGGGGCCATCCCCAAACTCCTCCCACAAAGTTGGGAGCATGAAATTGTCCAGGATTGGATGCAGCTGCTCGGCCATGGAAACCCATTCCATGAAGCTCTCTACGCACTGTTGTTGGGCTCATCTGAAGGCCACACCAAGTTTGGAGGTCTTTAGCTATTGACTCTGCAGACAGTTGGGACTTCTGCGCACTGTGCGCTTCAGCATGCGCTGACCCCGCCCTGTCATGTGACGTGGCCTACCACTTGGTGGCTGAGTGGCTGAGTGGCTGTTGTTCCCAGTGGCTTCCACTTTGTTATAATCCCACTAACAGTTGAGCGTGGAATATTTAGTAGCCAGGAAATGTCACGGATGGACTTATTGCACAGATGGCCACCTATCACGGGACCACACGCTTGGAGTCACTGAGCTCCTGAGAGCGACCCATTCTTTCACCAATGTTTGTAGAAGCAGTCTGCATGCCTAGGGGCTTGATTGTATACACCTGTGTCCATGGAGGGGATTGGAACACCTGAATCACATGATATGGAGGAGATTGGAACACCTGAATCACATGATATGGAGGGGATTGGAGCACCTGAATCACATGATTTGGAGGGGATTGGAACACCTGAATCACATGATATGGAGGGGATTGGAGCACCTGAATCACATGATTGGGAGGGGATTGGAACACCTGAATCACATGATATGGAGGGGATTGGAGCACCTGAATCACATGATTTGGAGGGGATTGGAACACCTGAATCACATGATATGGAGGGGATTGGAGCACCTGAATCACATGATTGGGAGGGGATTGGAACACCTGAATCACATGATATGGAGGGGATTGGAGCACCTGAATCACATGATTGGGAGGGGATTGGAACACTTGAATCACATGATTGGGAGGGGATTGGAACACCTGAATCACATGATATGGAGGGGATTGGAACACCTGAATCACATGATATGGAGGGGATTGGAAACACCTGAATCACATGATATGGAGGGGATTGGAACACCTGAATCACATGATATGGAGGGGGGTCCCAATACTTCTGGCAATATAGTGTACATGTAAGTAGACTTCATAGCCGTGTAGTCGCTGACTCTGCGACCTGCGGAGGATTTTCGTGTGAATCAGAACAAGGCCTGGGGCAGGAAGACGTTCGGTGTGATCTGTACCCCCAGCGGCAGGATGTGACAGGTCCTCTTCTCTGTTGGGTAGAGGGGCCCCCCCCGGGTGGAGATCTGGATATAATGTGGAAATGTTTCCATGACGTCCCTTCCGCCCCGATCCGGGCGATCATTGTAATCCGGGCGTGTTGTGCGCTCATGGATGACGCGGCAGACACGAAGCTGCGTTTACCGATCTGACAAGAAGGCGAGGAAGGTGAGCCGGACACGAGTGCAGTCCTTCCTCGCTCGGGGGGGTCGGTGAGGATTGTAGTTCCCATTCCTCCCCAGATTTGGTCTTTTTGTTTCTGTATTATTAGTGATTTTTCCCCAAAAAGACAGAATTAAATGGCTCTGAGGCTAGAGGGGGAAAAAACAGAATCAATACTGAACCCCCTCAATGCCGGGCACTGTCACCCCCTCCCTGCCCAGGCCGATGCTCAGCTGTCAGCGCTCCTCCTTCTACAAAGTTACAATGTACAGTCTGATCACGGGGGAGGGGAGACTGAGGAAATGACTCCTCCTCCTCCTACAAAGTTACAATGTACAGTCTGATCACCGGGGGAGGGGAGACTGAGGAAATGACTCCTCCTCCTACAAAGTTACAAATGTACAGTCTGATCACCGGGGGAGGGGAGACTGAGGAAATGACTCCTCCTCCTCCTACAAAGTTACAATGTACAGTCTGATCACGGGGGAGGGGGAGACTGAGAAAATGCCTCCTCCTCCTTCTACAAAGTTACAATGTACAGTCTGATCACTGGGGGAGGGGAGACTGAGGAAATGCTTCCTCCTGCCTCCAGCAGACTGATGACATCATCTCAGCCTAGGCACAGTCACCTACCTGAGCCTAAATATGGCGTTTAAATGATGAAAGGTGGAGCTTTCATAAAACACAAAACAAAAGTACTGAATACTATACATTGTGAAACGTCAGATGTAAGGCTACTGAAAGCTGCACTGTAACTCCTCCTCTTCCTGCCCCCGGGGCCTGAAACATGGCAGTCTGAAATCCCTATGCAGTGCATATTGTCTGGCCCCTTTCCTTCAGAGGCGGAGCTATGATGTAGCTGTAGTCCTAGTAGAGAAGGGAGGAGCTTTCCCCGGGGGCGGGGAGGAGGACGAGCGTTCCCCGTGGGCGGGGTGGAGGACGCGCGCTCCAAGCACCAGCTGCTCCCCCTGCTGTTCCTCCGCCTCCCTGCGCTCCGCTAGTTGCTCGCCTTGTATAAAAATCAGAAGAAGAGTCGTAATCCCGACACATGGGGGAGATAAAAACAAGGCGCAATAAGCGCAGAGCGGGGCGATAAATCTGCCGTCTAGAAGGAGACACACACTGCAGTCCCTGACATTTATAGCCGGACCCCGGTGCCACCTTCCCGCTGGTGTCACGTGCGGATCTGGCAGAATATATTTTATTTCTGTTTTATATAGAACGGCCGGGGGGGGGGGGGGGATAGGAGGGGGATGGATGGGGGGATGGGGGGGATGGGAGGAGGGATGGATGGGGGATGGGAGGAGGGATGGATGGGGGGCGCACATGTGAGGACGTAATCTGGCACAATATGTCCCGATTTAACATTTAATTTAACATTTAAATGTAATTAATGAGATTCCCGTCCGTTCCGTGCGCTGCCCCTCCCCCCCCCCCACCGACTCCTCTCCACACGTTACAGAAAGCATTGTGTCCCAAAAGCTTGAGTGCCTTCCCAAAAGCTGCTGCCGTACCGCCATTAAAGTGTACCTGTCGTCCCCCCCGCATGACATAATAAGCCCCTGGGACCGTGGCATAGTGAGCTCCCGGGACTGTGGCATAGTGAGCTCCTCGGACCGTGGCATAGTGAGCCCCTGGGACTGTGGCATAGTGAGCCCTTGTGACCGTGGCACAGTGAGCTCCTGGGACCGTGGCATAGTGAGCCCCTGGGACCGTGGCATAGTGAGCTCCTGGGACCGTGGCATAGTGAGCCCCTGGGACCATGGCATAGTGAGCCCCTGGGACCGTGGCATAGTGAGCTCCTGGGGGAGCCCCGGCATAGTGAGCCCCTGGGAACGTGGCATAGTGAGCTCCTGGGACCCGTGGCACAATGAGCTCCTGGGACCGTGGCATAATGAGCTCCTGGGACCGTGGCATAGTCAGCTCTTGGGACCGTGGCACAATGAGCTCCTGGAACCGTGGCATAGTGAGCTCCTGGGACCGTGGCACAATGAGCTCCTGGAACCGTGGCATAACGAGCTCCTGGGACCGTGGCATAGTCAGCTCTTGGGACCGTGGCACAGTGAGCTCCTGGGACCGTGGCATAGTCAGCTCCTGTTGGTTTCCAACATTTGTGACCAATAAATCTGTGAGAAGTGTGGCGGCATTTGTATTCAGCCCCCTATTTACTCTGATACCCCTAACTAAAATCTAGTGGAGCCAATTACCTTCAGAAGTCACCTCATTAGAGTCCCCCCGGTGTGTCATGTGATCTCAGTAAAAATCCAGCTGTTCTGTGAAGCCCTCAGAGGTTTGTTAGAGAACATTAGTGAACAAACAGCATCATGAAGGCCAAGGAACACACCAGACAGGTCAGGGATAAAGTTGTGGAGAAGTGTAAAGCAGGGTTAGGTTATTAAAAAAAATCTCCCAAGCTTTGACCATCTCACAGAGCACTGTGTTCAATCCATCACCCGGAAATGGGAAGAGTACGGCACAACTGCCAACCTACCAAGACATGGCCGTCCACCTAAACTGACCGGCCGGGCAAGGACAGCATTCACCAGAGAAGCAGCCAAGAGGCTCATGGGAACTCTGGAGGAGCTGCAGAGATCACAGCTCAGGGGGGGAATCTCTCCTCAGGACAACTATTAGTCGTCACTCCACAAATCTGGCCTTTATGGAAGAGTGACGAGAAGAAGCCATTGTTGGAGGAAAGCCATAAGAAGTCCTGTTTGCACTTTGTGAGAAGCCATGTGGGGGACACAGCAAACATGTGTAAGAACATGTGTGGGGGAAAACTAACACTGCCCATCCCCCTGAACACACCATCCCCACCGTGAAACATGGTGGTGGCAGCGTCATGTGATGGGGAGGCTTTTCTTCAGCAGAGACAGGGAAGCTGGTCAGAATTGATGGGAAGATGCCGTGCAATCCCACCCCAGCGCGTTTCATCACTTCTGACTTCATCTGAGGGTATCTAATAATAAGGACCTGTACAATTCCCTACGTTGTTCCCTACATTTTCCCGTGTTGTGACCGTAATAGGAATCGCACCATCTTCTACAAGTCATCTCCTGTCTGTGCTGGCCCCTGCCCTTCCCTATGCTCCTGCCCCTCCCTTTGTTCCTGTTACTGCCCCCTTTCCCTGCTGCTGTTCATGGATCCTTCCTTTGCTAATGCTCCCTCTGCTTGCTCCTGCCTCCCCCTGCTCTTGCACCCCTCTGCTCATGCCCCTTCCCCTGCTCATGCCCCCCTCACCCTGCTCCTGTTTATGGACCCCACCTTTGCTAATGCCCCCTCCCCCTGCTTTTGTCCTCCCTCTGCTAATGCCCCCTCCCCATTCATCTGCCTTCTCCTCTGCTCTTGCTCATACCAGCTCCCTCTGCTCCTGCCTCTTCCCTCTGCTCATGCCTCCTCCCCCTGATCCTGCACCCCTCTGCTCAAGCCCCTTCCCTGCTCCTGCTCATGCCCCCTCTCCTTGCTCACGCTCCTTCCTTCTGCTCATTCTCCTCCCCTGCTTATGTCCCCTCCCTCTGCTCATGCTTCCTCCCCTTGCTTCTGCTCATGCCCCCTCCCTCTGCTCATTCCTCCTCCCCCTGTTCCTGCTCCTTCAACCCCCTGCTCCTGCCCCCTCCCCCTGCTCATGCCCCCTCCCTCTGCTCATTCCTCCTCCCCCTGTTCCTGCCCCTTCCCTCTGCTCAATCCTCCTCCCCCTGCTCCCTCTCTGCTCATGCCCCTGCACCCTCCCTCTGCTAATGGCTCCTCCCCTGCTCCAGCATCCCCTCTGCTTATGTTCCCTTCCCCTGCTCCAGTTCATATCCCCTATCTCTGCTAATGCAATGTCCCCCTGCTACTGCCCCTTGCTCTGCTCACGCCTCCATCCTCTGCTCCTGCCCCCTCAACCTACTCCTGCTTATGTCCCATACTTCTACTCATGTCCTCTCCCTGGCTCTTGTTCTGCCCCTCCCTCCCCCTCCGCTGCTGCCCCCTCCCTCCGCTTTTGCTCCTGCCCCCTCCCTCTGCTCCTGCCCCCTCCTTCTGCTCCTGCTCCTGCCCCCTCCCTCCGCTCTTGCCCCCTCCCTCCGCTCCTGCCCCCTCCCCCTCCTGCTCCTGCCCCCTCCCTCCGCTCCTGCCCCCTCCTTCCGCTCCTGCTCCCTCCCTCCGCTCCTGCCCCCTCCCTCCGCTCCTGCGCCCTCCCTCTGCTCCTGCCACCTATTTCCGCTCCTGCTCCTGCCCCCTCCCTCTGCTCCTGCCCCCTCCTTCCGCTCCTGCTCCCTCCTTTCGCTCCTGCTCCTGCGCCCTCCCTCTGCTCCTGCCCCCTCCCTCCGCTCCTGCCCCCTCCCTCCGCTCCTGCCCCCTCCTTCCGCTCCTGCGCCCTCCCTCTGCTCCTGCCCCCTCCCTCTGCTCCTGCCCCCCTCCTTCAGCTCCTGCCCCCGCCTTCCGCTCCTGCGCCCTCCCTCTGCTCCTGCCCCTCCCTCCGCTCCTGCCCCCTCCTTCAGCTCCTGCTCCCTCCTTTCGCTCCTGCTCCTGTGCCCTCCCTCTGCTCCTGCCCCCTCCCTCCGCTCCTGCCCCCTCCTTCAGCTCCTGCCCCCTCCTTCAGCTCCTGCTCCCTCCTTTCGCTCCTGCTCCTGTGCCCTCCCTCTGCTCCTGCCCCCTCCCTCCGCTCCTGCCCCCTCCCTCTGCTCCTGCCCCCTCCTTCCGCTCCTGTGCCCTCC